TGCTCTTTTGTTATCATCCTCAACTTGTTCCTGCATTCTTTCACAGGATCAATCAATACATATTCCTACAGATCCCCTAAAATAAAATTCACATGATCAAGATTAGAATAAGAAAACAAGGACGAAAGGTCAAGTGAATATTCCTCTGGTATATCCAAGACCATTTGTTTCTCATTCTCTTCTATTACATGTTGCGGATGTGGAAATATGGATAGGGGTTTGAACTCTTCTTCCGTTGCTTCACACTCAACCACAATCTTATTTTCGACCATCTCGGTTGAATGAGAGTCATCTTGAACAGTGAAAAGCTCTCTCTGTGGATGCCCATCCTCTTGGGTAGGCTCATTCTCACAGGGTATCTCCTCCATATATCACCATCACAATGCAATGAGCTTCTTGACAGTGTACTTACCAATTGACTCACTTGCATTGTTAGGTTGTTAATGGCTTCATCATCTTGTGTAAATTTCTCTACCAGCTTATTTATGAACTTATACATAAGCTCTTCCAAACTATCATTCTCCCCCTGAGGTGGTTGTCTCACTTCGCTTCCATTCCAGTTATAATAATGGTATTCATCCCAACCAGAGTCAATATTGTGCCCATATGAATACTCATACTTGTACGGACTAGAAACAGAGTAAGACTATTCAAAAAACGAACCATAGGAGGAATACATACCTGCTTGACAGTCAACCCATAGATCATTTTCACCGTATTTAAAACACATAGCTGATAATAGTCAACTGCTAACTCTTCAACCATTTTTTTAGGCTGGTTGTACTCCATCTTCACAACATTTAGAGTTCAATATCCACAGTATCTTCTCCAACTTTTTAGGTACTACAAAACAAATCTTGAAATGAAGTTAACTAATAAAGAAAATAAAATAGAAAAGAAAAGAGAAAAGGAAAACTAAAACCTAATTCCTGAATTAGCACTACAAACTATTTCAAACACTGCTGATTTTCAATCCCCGGCAACGACGCCAAAATTTGACGGCCTAAAAATACAATACAAAATTATGCTCGCTAGTCAAATATAGTATATAAAATATCGTATCCACAGGGATTGGATTTAAACAATATTTTCATAGCTTCTAGTTTTAATTGCTATCCAAGATGATCAACAATTTAGAATTGTGTGATATAAAACTAAAATTTACTAAACGTCTAAACTATTGGCTAATGACAATCGCAACAAGAGTAAGCAAGAAGATATCAAAGGGAGAAAATAAGAGTTGATTGGATAGGTGTAAGATACTTGTTTGGGAAATTAACTCTAGTTACTTCACTTCTATGATTCAAGTGAGTCTCTCGAATTCACTCTATTATGTTCAAACATTCAGTAGAAACTCCTCTCTCGATTAAGTTTCAACCTTACGATATGAAATAAGTTAAGCTCGGTGAATATATGCAAGAATTCGTAGTGGATTGATCCTTAGGAGAGCCTCTTTCGATTATCCTCCTAACTAGGTCTAAACATTAATTCAACTAGTCTTTTTCGATTGTTAACAAGAATCAATGAATTCAACCAATAAAATAATGTAAAACATCATGCCTCTTTCGATTACATAAATAAGTGAATATATATNTAAACCCTTGTCTTGAGTGAAGATGAATGATGAAATCCTTGTGCTCTTGCTTCTCCCTCTTCTCCTTAGCTTCCTTAGGTCTAAATTATGTCAAAAGTCCTCAAAATACCATTTTACTATGTATATATACCAAGTAGGGTCGGGCCCAAATAAATACACCTTCTCCTATATGAAAAAGGATACTTTTCCGGACTTGGACGTGCGCGGCTGTGCACCTGGAAGTGTGCCCGCGCACTTGGCTGTGCACTTTTCACACTGTTCTGCCCCATATGCGCAGTCAGTGCGCGGCTGCGCACTTGCCGTGAACCCTTCACCATATTATGTTGGGAATTGGAAACTATGTAAAACACAAAAGTTGTAGCCCTTTGAATTATCTTTCAAACAATATATTGTATAGTCCAAACGGAGTTCTGAGAAAAGAGTTATGCGTATTTTACTAGATACTGCGCAATATGCCTGCGCGATTCTTCGTTTCATTCCACTATCATCCGTTGATCCCCAAACATGATTCCGGCTTAATTTCTTGGGCTTTTACTATGACTTCAAAGCTCCAAATTACTTGAATTCATTATATAACATCTACATAGCTCGGAATCACTCCTACAAGGCATAAAAGACACAATTAGTGCAAAACACTAGCGATTAAAGCTCAAACTCAACTAAATTAAAGTGCAATAAATTAGAATATAATAATCGACTAAAACATGAGATTATAGCCTACCATCATTCACCCGACCCCAATCCTATTTTCCTTAGCCTTCACTGTCACAAGGAAGCTGTTCATCCCAAATTAGGTGTCGTTGTGGCATCATTGCAAACCATTTCACTTCAACAACTCCATTTAACCCTAGAAGGCGATTTTATAAATGCCCAAAGCCTAAGGTTAGTGATTATTTAACAAAAGCTCTAAATTATTATCAGTTTTCTCTAAATTATAGTCTCTAAATTATAGTCTTTTTTGTGTTCGATAGAATCGTTCTTGTGGTTATTTTGAATGTGAAGATGAAATCTCCTTGAACAGTGATTTGGTTACAACTAAAGATTTAACATCGTCTTGGTAAGCGATTAAAATTGATAGGGATAAATTGAAAGAAGAATTAATTGCCATGGAGGCTCTACACCAAGCTGAAGTTGCAAAACTAATGAAATTGGAAGAGAAGGGTTTGAAGACGAGGATGATGCTTATGGTTTCATGGGAACCTTTTGTTGGATTTGTTGCGACGTCGATGATAAAGTGAATTTTTGTGAATCTTGTTGATGTTTATTGTTGTGATCTTTTTTAGTGAATATGTATTGTTTTAGTTTTCTTCTCGTTTGAATAGGTGCATCTTTATTATCATTTTGTTGATGTAATATTGGTGTTATGTATTTTGTTTTGAACCATTTACATTAGTTAATGTAATCTTAGTTTTATGGATTTTGTTGGAAGCTATATTATTTGTTGATGTTGTATGTGTTCATAGCCATCATTGTGTATGTATTTGAGGGAACCAATTGTGATGAACCTGCTATATTATTAGGTGATGTTACATAGCAGTTACATAGTGATAACTTGCAGATTCCGAGATATGGGTTGATGAACATAGCAGTTACAAAACACACAAATTGTATGTGTTGAAAGCATTGTCTCTGTGAAAATCTGGACAGTATATTATAATGATGACCCTGCAGATTCCTAAATCTTAGACAATTAAGGGGTTGGACATCATCTATAAATTGGATAATGAATAACAATGAAACGAACATTTAAATTCATAAACTAATAGTTGCTTCATTCACAAGGGTATATCGCATTAACACCCCAAAAACATATCACAACCAAGTGATAACATGACATCCAAGTTTCCCTAACTAAACAATCAAACTATATTAAACCCCAAACAAGGGGATGTCAACTTATTACCCCAAACAATTACACAACCAAGTGATAACATGACATCCAAGTTAACAGGTCACTAACTAAACAGTCACACAACCAAAAATAACAAGTTTACTTGCCTAGCAATAATTACATCACAACCAAGAATAAACAACCATAATAGAGTTTAATAGCTCCATATTCCAGCACACCAAATTGCATTAAGTCTACTTCTTCCCATTACCCTTCTTTGCTTTCAACTTGGCCAATCTTTGTTTGTTAAGCTGGTTACCAATAATAACAAATTATTCCCTGCCATTGCAGCTTCTTTGGTGAGAATGGAAGTTTTGATGGCTCACTCACATCACTGGCATCACCAACAAATTCAATTGACCTTGTTCCAATTGTTGTACTTTGTAGTTACCTCAATTGTAGTCTAGTCTTTGCCTCGGAGATACTTCTTGGCCTTATAGCTATTTCAGGCTCCGTATCAAAGTCTGGGTAGTCAAAGTCCGCAAAGGCACTGCAACTTGGTTCTTGCCTCTGCACTGAAGGGGTTGTCATATACAAGAAGTTGCTGGATTGACTTGTTTGAATAAGTTGACTTGGCTGAGGGGCTGACAAGGGAATTTCCTCATCACTGGCTTCTTGTGGCACTGGTGCATGAGAGGGAGATCTGGGCTGTTCATCATCAGTAGCTTCATCAAGTAAAGTTCTCTTTCTTTTTGTCTACTTTCCCTTCTTCTTACCTCCAATGGGCAGCTTTCCTTTAGAGTGTTGTTAGTAAGAAAGAATGCTTTTATTAGATGTTGAAAGAAAAATAATGATAGAAAGAGTTATAGTATTGATTACCTTTGCACATCCTTTAGCATTGTGTCCAAGTTCACCACAGTTGCTACATGTCATTACCCTCCCTTTCTTTGATCAAATTAATTCAGGCGTCTATAAACTACATTATAAATCCAACTGTCGTCATTCTCTAATTTTGTGAATGCATAATTATTATTTGGAACTTATTATCTGAAAATTAGAAATAACAAATTCGTTATAAAAACGTTGTACTACCAAATATATTCATGCAAAGTTGGAGGAAAAGTTTGAGCTTAAACATAACGTTGGAAATATCCTTTTCACACATTACTTCTAATTTTCACGAGTAGCTGCTCCACTCTAATCAGGCTGGATCGATCAAAAAGGAATATCATAAGAAGGAAGAACGTAGGACTCCCTTTTATATGTGCAAAATGGTTTTCAAGAGTAATTGAATATTTGTTTTTATAAATATATGCTTTGGAAAACAGTGGATCGTGCATAGTCACTACCATAGGCAGGTTTGCTAGTGAGATAATTAGTAGGTAAGTGGATTAGGATAAGTAGCCGCAAAATTTAACGGAAAAATTTGTGGTCACTAGCATTACCGTAATATTGCCGTTGCTCTTGAAAATTTTGTGGATAACGTTGCATGCATGGGATGCATACAGCCGCGAAAAAAGCTACGATCACTCGACCTTTTTTCTTTGTATCTATTTGTTTTCAGTATGAAATTAACTGAAAACAGGAAAATTTGATCATCTATTGTTGGTACTTAAGAATTTGATGTTTGTCATATAGTATTTGAGAGATGCGTTATTAATGCATACAAGTTGCAAGTGATATACGTACTTTCCAATATACAATCCATATCCAAAACATGATCTCCTGCCTGAAATTCACCGATTTTATTAGTCTCCCTTTGCCATTTGCCTTGTCTTAGCTTTTCTGTTGCATCTTCAGCTCGTTTTAATTTCCTTTATGATCTTCTATTTCGAGCATTAATCAGATAGATGGCGAATACAGAGACAATAAGGACGATTGTTGGAATTATTGGTATGTGTCTTACGTACTATCCAATATTCATCAATACCGGTTTTTAAGTTATATATATATCAACTAATTAACATTTCTTTTCCATGCATAATTAATGCAGGAAATGTTATATCTTTCTTCCTCTTCCTATCCCCTGTGTAAGTCCTCTGCAATAATGTGCATTATGAATTTATGAATAATAAAGTATATATCTTTGATCCTTCAAACATTTAGCTGTATTTTTTTGGCAGGCCAACGTTCATTAAAATATGGAAAGTAAAGACGGTGATGCAATTCAGACCAGACCCTTATGTTGCTACTGTTCTAAATTGTGCAGTGTGGATATTTTATGGAATGCCCTTTGTTCATCCAGATAGCCTTCTGGTCATCACCATTAACGGCATCGGTCTTGTTATAGAATTAATTTATGTCTCAATCTTCTTTATCTATTCCGAATGGCCAAAACGTGTACGTATTTTATTATGTACACTTTTAATTATTTAATTATATTGTGTATTTTCCGAATTAAATTGAACTAACATGTGTTTTTAAATAATGTATATCAGCGGAGGATTATAATTGCTTTGATAATTGAAGTAATATTTGTGGCGATCGTCATTTTCGTTACGCTTACTTTCCTCCATGATACCAAGTCCAGATCCATGCTTGTTGGAATATTGGCTGTCATTTTCAATATTCTTATGTACACTTCGCCCCTCACCGTCATGGTATTAATTTGTCTATTGGAATCCTTCTTCTTTTTTTACATTCAATTTTTAATTTGCCATATGTATGCACTAATTACTAACATTTGCTGTTTTCTTTTAGCGTCGAGTCATCAGCACCAAGAGTGTGAAATACATGCCATTTTTCCTGTCACTTGCAAACTTTGCTAATGGATGTATTTGGTTCGCCTATGCATTCCTCAAATTTGATCCCTACATCTTGGTAATTAAATTCATTTTCTTATTCTTCGATACTGAATATATTGCTAATTCATGTACATTACTGGTTTACTACATAATCTAAAGCATGATAATAGCATTTTGAATCTGTATTGTTTGATAATAATAGGTACCTAATGGCCTGGGAGCGTTATCTGGAGCACTTCAGCTCATCCTTTATGCAACATATTATCGCTCCACCAACTGGGACGATGATGGAAAGTCAAGTGAAATTGAACTTCCAGGGAACACCACACCCTAATTTAGTTCAATTTAGGATTTAAGTTAGATTTACCGATAGTGTAAGGAATTTTTAATTATTATCAGTACAATTAGCGCGTTATAGCAGATTGCTTACTACTTTTCTAGGTTACCGGTCAATTATTAGAGTTCATTATCTGTGTAAATGCAGTTTCAGCGACTTGATTGTGTAAATATTTCTTATGCTTTTAGCTTCTTATTTTTTTTTTCTACACATTAGGAATTGTGTTATCAAAGTAGAAAACTCTCTATTTCCCCTTCCCATTCCCCATGTATAGCAAAAAAAATCCTGGAAAGTACAACTAGGCTACCATGCTATTGACTCACGACTGAAAAGAAAAAAAAGAATTTCATTTTAGCCTAAATGTTTATGACTACTACTGTTATATAAATAAATGTATTGACATGAGAAGAAAGCAGTGTCAATTCCATCACCCAACCTACAGAAGCCAACTTGATGACATATTTGAAAATTTCCCAGAAATAAAAAAGAAAAGAAACAATGGATATATTATAAGGAAAAAGAAAAAAAAGGAAGAAAACAAATGGAAAAGAAGACATGAATGTATAAGCTTTTAGTTACATCAACCAAGAGAATACATGTACACAGCTTCCCAATAGAACCGCGAAAATATTCTGGCTCTGCAAGTTCACTTCCTTCGTCAAATATTTGGAAATTGAGATAGAATTTACCTACTTCTGCATGTCTGCTTGAGCTACAAGCTTCAAGGCCCACGATACTTTCGGAAACACAAACAACCCTGTTGTTGATCAGCGGGAATCATTCCTCCGCCTTTTGATGTATCAATAGCCTCTATCATGGATGCTACCTCGTTCATCTCAGGCCGCTTGTCAGGGTTAGCGTCCCAACATCTCTTCATTACATTAGCAAGGGAACTAGGGCAACACCTTGGAATTTCTGGTCTCAGATTCTGTGTGGCACAACAGAAACCGCAGTTATCAAGGAGGCAAAGGCAGATGATCAAGAAGAAACCAGTAACTATACATTCTTGTCTATCTGTGTTATTCAATCTTCACATGTCATTACTTATATCCAAAAAGTGCTAAAAAGTTGGAGGCTTTACCTGGCAAACCACAGCTGAAGTTACTTCTGAGAAGCTGAGATTAGAATATGGCATGTCACAGCAGTAGATCTCCCACACACATATGCCAAAACTGTAAACATCGCATTTTCTATTGTATGGATTGCCATTGAGAACCTGTAGTTTGAGCATTCAACAATTCAGCAACAGCGGATGTAAAGTACAACTCTTTCATTTGCAATGTTTTCATTCTTGCTTTCCCAGCATTTTAAAAAGTTTATCCAACACTTTCTTTCACTAATTCACTCGATTTTGGGGGTTAAAATCCCTACATTCACGTCACTCTTCCTCCAGGTGAGAAAAAGATGGGGATTGCAATAGGAAAAGATTTAGCTTATTTCGAAAAATCAACACCGAACATTGTGTTCTGTAGTAAGTTAGATCAAGGCTCATAGCATGTGTCTCTTGCACACTTATGCATTGTACACAAGTTGACGAATGAATCTTGGTGAAAAATAAGGGAACATTTGCAAGCAAGAATACCAAGAAAAAGCTTTATATACGCTGAATCTGCTTAATCCATCAAAAGAACAGAAATGACCAGACAGATTACTGACATGAATGAAAGACATTCATGGAGAGGTGAATCCTACTCCACTTCCAGAATTACCTCAGGAGCCATATATCCAAGGGTTCCAGTCTCCCCGGTCATGTCATTGGGATTAGAGGCCTCAACGCGAGCAACCCCAAAATCTGCAATTTTTACTGTACGTGTCTTATCCAATAGCATATTCTCTGTCTTGACATCTCTATGCACAATCTTCTCAGAGTGAAGGTAACTTAACCTAAAAAAGTTCAAATGATTGACCTCAGTTCAGTAAATGATAAATTGTATATATAATTCAGAGGGGTTTAAAATACATGAGAAAAAGTCAGAGCTCCAATTTACCCTCTGGCCATATCAAGTGCAATCTGCACAACTACTTTGAATGCTAGCTTCTTTCTTCTGTTCTTGATAAGGTAAGATTTTAATGCACCGCCCGGAAGGTACTCCACTATGACGCAGCATATGTTACTAGGCATGCCAATGTGACCATTTTCTGTTTGTACATTTAGCCCAGAAGAGCCCATGGTTGCTCCGATGAACTGTGAGATTGGAGAGATATATTAGTTGTATTATGTGGAAAAAGAAGTATGGGTAAATCTAAGCAACAATCAGTTGGTATGCTATGACATGAGATAAGACTTTGGACATCTGCAGTTTCCATAGTCCAACGGCCTTTATGTTGTGAATGAAATACAACACTAAAGATTAGGCATCCAACCAGCACAGACATCGTAGATCATTATAAACAGGAGCCTGTAAAATTAACACAAATTTGAAATTGCAGTCATTTGCTACAGCCAACGAATAGGTATAGGCATGCTTCACATCACCCTTAACTGTCCTTCAAGCATCATGCTTTCACCCCTTCACCATAAAGGTTTCTGGTACATCAATGAATTAATTTTGTATTTCATTTGTTTAAACCAGAAATAACACATAAGATGTCTTTTGTCCTTGCAAGAATGTTTTCAGAATCAAAATGTTTTATATACTCCATGCAACATGATAGCTCAAGTAGATCAATATATATAAGAGATCAGAACTTGACTACCAAATTATAACTTGTCAAGATTGTAAACAAAATTCAAAAAGACACTATTACAACTTACAGCCTTGTATCCTGATGATTGGAGTTTAAGGTTCATCTATTCAAGTTGGCCTATATACGGAATATTCTTTTTTCCTTATTCCCGCTTTGAAAAGTTAGGTAGTGGTGTCTAGGTAGTCCTTGTCAATATGAAGTTCTGATTTCCACCATCAACCTATCAAGAGCTTGCTAAATTTCCCAAGATCAGCCTTTTTCTCATTTTCATAATAGAAAATCATCACAACCTACCATTATAAGCTCAAAAATACTGTGACTATTTACGTGACTTATAGAAGTCGATATGTTGTTTCTTTTGTTCTTCTCTTTTTGGGAGGTATTGCTCTGTTTATTGAGTTACCCGTCATAAGTAGCTACTAATTCCTATAAGGAACACCTCATGCAAAAGTTACAAAACTGAATTAAAAAGACAGCCTTCTGCAAAGCTTCAGCAATTTGACAGAATAGTGGAACACTCATATTCGTGACGCAAAGATAAGCACACTTTTGATACACATATAACTTGTCATCAAATTCAAATTTAGGAGGTGACACGAGCATGACTCACATATTTTTCGGTACTACTAATAAGAATCTGCTAATATAGCAAAAAGGATAATTAATGTCCATATTCTCACTACTGACTTCAGTAATCACAGGACTAAATTTATTTATCCACTATAATCTCTTTCCTACTGTAGAACCACCATCTCTCATGTTTTTAATTGGTTAAAATCTAAAACATAGTATCTTACCTTAAATATCTAATAATTAATTTCTTTAAAATATGTACACATCTTGAGCAAGCTGTGATTTACAATAGCTAATCACCACCAAACTAGCTAGACGAAGTTTCTTGGCCATGAAATGGAAAGATAGAGGCTCATCATGCATATTACAATGGCATTGCTATTGTTGAAGTTCTCTACAAGCACTATGTCCACACTTTGTTCCAAAAGCAGTGCAAAAAGTATAAACTGAGTAAAAGGTAGTTTAGACTGGAAATTATTAGTAGATGGACCATCAAAGTTTTAGCCCGTGACAGGAACTGAAGTTTCATGCAGAAGCAGTAGTATCCGAGAGGTTTTAAATCATTCCCTCATAAAAAGTTTATAGGTTGAATGTCACCTTTGTAACATTAGAATGGTCAAGCTTATGCCACACTGAAACTTCCTGAGTAAAAGCTGCCCTTAGTGATGCTATTTCAGCATCTGTTCTGTGGCCCTCTTCCCCCCAGTCCAGTAGTTTCACTGAGGAATGTTAACGAGAAACAAGTTAGCAAGAACACTAATTTATGGTAGTCATTAAATCATTCCAAAATTTGTTAAAAAGTTTGAACTAGAAAAATGGACAATTTTTGGACAAGCAAATTTGTTAAGGCCCTGTAGCAGTGACAACGACAACCACATTTAACACCAAAACGCTATTTAAAGCAAGAACATAAAAACAAAAACAGAAAACCAAAAATGATGAGAGAGCTAGAAAATGAGATCCAGAGTAGTAGGATCAAGATGACAAGCATTAGTGTTTTCGATTACTTTATTACTTGAATAACAGATAGGATCACATGAAAGTTCAGAAATACAGCAATATGAAGACCAGCCAAGTTAATGCAATCTGCAACTTGCACAATTCAATCCAAACCCGTGCCATTATTCACGGATTCCATACGAATACACTCAAATGACAGACCATCAAAATCACAATACAACCTGATGAAGAAAACTAATAAAAACAGCAACCATGCATAGCAAACCTTGAATAAAGTTACCTCCATTTCAAAAAGATTGACACTGTTTCCTTATTAGTCCATTTTTGAAAAGGAGGGAGTAGTAGTTCAGCAGCCTATAGGGAGGTAGGGAACATTAAAATTGAACCATGAATAGGCCCACAAAATTAACACTGAGCACAATTTTTCCACTAGTTATTAAAGAATTAATGACTTTCCAAAAATTGTAAACGCATGAATCACTTTTTTACCATCAATTCTGTTTAAGTTCCTAGTACCTACTCTTCATGATAGCATGATCCATGCACTAAAACTAAATAAAAGGATAGGATAAAAGTGAAAAGAAAATAACTTCTTAACAATATAAAAGGAAAATGGACCGACAGTCCCAGAAATGCTGCGACACACCTCCTCACGCGGTTCCCTCTCTGCCCCTCCAAAAAAGTTAAAATAGATAATAACAATAATAATGATAATAATAATTTTTTTTTTTTAGAGGAAACAAAAACGAAAAATCAAAAGTAAATGAGTAACTGTATCACCCAGAAACCATTGAACAGATTTGTTTTTGAGTTATGGTTAAAAAACAGGTAGGTGACTGACCGGCAACATCTTGGCCGTCGTAAATGCCACGGTGGACGGTACCAAAAGTGCCACGAGCAATGACACTTTTGATGATAAGCTTGGAAGGGTCAATTTCCCAGTCGTATCTTTTCTTGGGCTTGACGGAGGAAGATAAAGAGAGGGCAGCAGCAGTGGCGGTGGCGGTGGCGGTAGTGTAATTAATGCACGAATCATCGAATGGTTTCTTCTTTTCCATAGTCCATGCTCTGTTAAGGTGCTTCTCCAGTTGTTCATCCAAACTCTTCAAATCAATCTGATCAGCTCTTACAAACCCATCACTGCTCTTCTCCATTTCGTTTTCTGCTTCCCCTTTTTTCTCTGTGTTCATAAACCTGAATATTTGATTGTTTCTTTGGGTAATATGATTGTGATTGTTCCGTAGGGGTGAATACTAGTTTTAGAGGGAGGAATAAATTAATAAAGCCAAAGAGAGGGAAAAAGCCAAAGTCTTTTTGGTTTGGTGCAGGGGAAGAAGAAAGGGAAGAGAAGAGGAGTAATATGAGCATAACGCCATGTGTGCACATGGAATTGCCTGAAGACAGCGTGTACTCCTGACCCCACCACTCTCCTCTTCTTTCTTTTCTCATTTTTTTTCTTCTACCTCCTTTTTTATTCGGAAAATGATGATATTTATCCTCTACTATCCAAAATAAGCAACATCTCTTCTTCCCGTTAAAGTTGGGGTGAAAATAAGCGTCATTCGAATTTTTTCGGTAGGTTTGTTATTTGTTACAGTTTTGGTTAGTTAATATTGTATTGGGTAAAATACCCAAAGAAGAGGACACGTGGAATTGAAGACAGAAAACCGAGCACATCTAATTTGTGTGTTACCGAGAAAGGCAAGTCTATAAAGGCATTAAGCATGATGTGCCCGATAACATTTAATGAAGAATATTCCACAGCATTAAAGAGTAACGGCTCATTACAGGAATTTAGACATTTATGTTTACCGTTAGGTTTCCATTACCGCACTTTAATAATTACCATTAGTGGTGGACCCAACCATTACACCCATTGAGATATAAATAATAGGCTCAACGATCATTATAAGACACGATTTAGACATCAAAGAATTCTTCCAATACAACATCTTGATACTATTTTTCTAGCTTGTTGTTCTTATCATCATCGTGCCCGAAAACTCTGTCCCCGGGCTCTCCATATCTATCGTTTTCTCTACATTTGAGCTAAGTATCTTGCATCCAAATTGACTGATTCATTATCTTATGGGATCAAATTGATTCATTTGTCTAGAAACCACGTACAAATTCAACTGTACCATTTTCCGTGTAAACAGTTTGGCGCCCACCGTGGGGTCTAGACCGTCGTGTGGTTAAGTTGATCCTTACCTCTTTCACTCACAAGCTTTGATCGTTCTTGTCTTAGCAAAATCACAAAGAATGGCAATCAATACCATTAACAACACTCACAATCCTAAGGTTCAAGGGGAACACCCCCATTTTGAGGACTCAATCAACGACACTCGTAATGAGGGGCAAGATGCCACGCCGGTGTATGACGGGCGGTACCCTAGACGAGTACGGCAAACGACTCCAGATGATGCTGACCAGGGGCATGTAGCAGACCTGGTGAGGATCCTGCAAGAGCAACATGCAATCATCCTAGGCCACCTCACGCGGCATGATTAGGTTATGACGGAGTTAAAACAAGCACTATCGGGTGCTTCAAATAATTCAAACATGCGAGATCCAGTTCCTCCAGTTGTTCCCACGAACCAAACAACGCAGAGAGTCGACAACAACACTCCTAGGGGCGAAGTTGGCTTTGACGGACCTGGGGGGGAGCATATCTGGACTCAACAGCGACAATGACCCATTCAAGGAAGAACTTTTGCGGTTCATGAAGGAAGTCAATGCCCGCATGGATCAGATCCCGGGCGCACCGCCAATATTGAAGGGTCCGAACTCGAAGAAGTATATTCAACTACCATACAAACCGAGTGCAAACCCAGAACTAATCCCTAAGCGGTTTAGAATGCATGAAGTGCCGAAATACAATGGAATTTCAGATCCACAGGAACACATCACCACCTACACAACGACAGTGAAAGGAAACGATTTGGCTCCTCATGAAATTGAATCTATATTATTAAAGAAATTTGGTGAGATTCTCATGAGAGGAGCCTTGACGTGGTACTCATTACTACGCGAGCACTTCATAGATTCCTTCGAGATGCTCGCAGATTCATTCATCAAGGCCCATGTCGGTGCGAGAAAGGTACAAGCCCGAAAGGCCGACATATTCAAGATCGCACAGGGAGAGTCCGAATTGTTACAAAGGTTCGTTAGTCGGTTACAGAAGTAAAGGATGTTGTTATCGGCTGTTCCGTATGAATGGACAGCTGAAGCGTTCACTAAGGGTTTAAACCCAAGGAGTTCGGATGCTTCCCGGAAGCTGAAGGAAAGTCTGCTCGAGTTTCAAGAGACAACTTGGGAGGATATCCTCAACCGGTACAAGTCAAAGATAAGTATCGAAGACGATCAGGTTGACTTCCCGTCATCAGCAAAAGGACGGGAGAAGAACAAAGATAAAGTGAAAGACAATGCCGACTCAGATAGATGAGTTTCAAGGGGTCGTCTTCTACCCTATGAGCGGACGGAAGGTCGCGGCAGGACCTTCCGGTCGGTTGACAAGTTTATTAATAACAAGAGAACTGATCGTGGTCGGAATTACAGACCACTGCAGGATAGGGATATCCCAGGGTCACGAGGCCCTTCCTATCCAAAGTTATCATAATATAATTTCAACGTCAGTGCGGTGGAATTAGTATCGGCCATGAGAGAATCAAAGAGGCACGGTTCCCGAGACTGATGAGGTCCGATACCGACCATAGGGACACAAACTTATGGTGTGAATATCATGGAACTAATGGTCACCGGACTTGGGACTGCCGGCACCTCCATGAAGAAGTGGAAATGCTGTTAAAAAATGGTCACCTCAGATAATTCTTGAGTGACTGAGCAAAGAACAACTATGGTTGGGACAGGGGAGACGTGTAAACCTCGAAAGCTGGAGAGGAACCTCCGCTCCAAATGATCAACATGATCTTCGGAGGGAATGAAATTAATGGGATCACCTTCTCGGCTTCAAATAAGATAAAAGTATCGACAACCTATAACAAGAGGTTCCGAGAAGATGATATCACGTTCACGGACGAAGACGTGGACGGATTACTATTACCGCACAATGACACACTGGTAATTTCTTTGAATGTGTTAAATTTCAAAATAAAATGTGTTTTAGTAGATCCAGAAAATTTTGCCAATATCATACAATGGAGAGTTATGGATCAAGCTAAACTCACCAGGAGCATTGTCATAGCAACAAAAATCCTTGCTGGTTTCAATCTCGCAAGGGTGACAACCTGAGGGGAAATTTTACTGGTTACGGATGCCGATGGCGTAAAAAAGACATCTCTCTTCTAAGTAGTAGATGGAGATATGGGCTATAATATCATCCTAGGGAGGCCATGGCTGCATGAGATGAAAGTTGTGCCTTCGACGTACCACCAACTACTGAAATTCCCAACACCCGAGGGGAGCAATCAGATAAGAGGTGATCAACCGGTGGCTAGAGAGATGGATGCGATCTCAATTTCCCATAGTAAGGGAAAGGAACCTGCAGCATAGCAATTATCGGAACTGGATTCCGCCCCCGAACTAGAGGAAATTGCCCCGGAGACGAGGAGTCGGAACAACATCAGGTACCAAGGTATTTCTAAATACCGGAAGAAACTGACGCAACGAAGTCCACGGCAGAAGAACTGGAGAAAATTGCACTGTTTGAAAAATTCCCCGAAAGGAAGTTCCATTTGGGAACAGGACTGCACCTAGAGCTCAGGTCAGATTTTATTGAATTCCTTAAAATTAACGTTGATTGTTTTGCGTGGTCGCACGAGGATATGATAGGCATCACAATGGAGATAGTCATGCAGAAGTTAAGCTTGAACCCGAGCGTACCTCCGGTAAGGCAAAATAAGCGCCCTATCGCATAAGCAAGGAATAAATTCGTTAGAGAAGAGGTAACCTGTCTACTTAATATTGGTTCAATCCGAGAGGTAAGATATCCAGACTGTCTAGTTAATATGGTAGTAGTTTCTAAGAAAAATAATAAATTCTGCATGTGCGTAGATTATAAAGATCTTAATAAGGCATGCCCGAAAGACTCGTTCCCATTGCCAAATATCGATCAAATGATCGACGATACGACCGGGAACGAGTTAATGAGTTTCTTCGATGCCTATTCCGGGTAAAATCAGATCAAGATGAACCCAAAAGACCGGGAAAAGACTTCGTTTATAATAAATTTTGGTACATATTGTTACAACGTAATGCCTTTCAGACTAAAAACTGCTGGAGCCACTTACTAGCGACTTGTAAATAAGATGTTCGAAAAATAAATAGGAAAAACTATGGAAGTATATATAGACGATATGCTCGTTAAGTCTCTGGATGCAGGTAACCACCTGAGGCATCTACAAGAAACATTTGACACACTGAGGGAACATAATATGAAGCTTAAGCTCGAGAAGTGTGCATTCGGGGTCGGATCAGGTAAATTCTTAGGATTGCTGGTCTCACAGAGAGGAATTGAGGTAAGTCCCGACAAAATCAAGGCCATAGAGGACATCCCAGATCAACTATCCAACGTAAAGGAAGTATAGAGACTCACAGGCAGATTAGCGGCTTTGAGCAGGTTCATTTCCCGATCATCAGAGAAATATCATTGCTTCTTCGCACTGCTAGAAAAGAAAAATAATTTCGAATGGACACCAGAGTATCAACAATCCTTGAAGGAATTAAAGGAATACTTATCAAGCCCTCTGTTGCTCTCGATGCAAAAAAGAATGAGAAACAATGGTGGTCTACCTAGCGGTCTCGATAGTTGCAGTAAGCGCAGTCTTAGTCCGGGAGGATAAAGGTACTCAATCCCCCACTTATTACGTTAGCAAAATTTTAACGGGGGTAGACATTCGCTACCCACATTTGGAAAAACTGGCCTTAGCTCTCGTGGTCTCTGCTCGGAAGCTGAGGCCATACTTCTAATGACACACGATAGCCGTGGTAAATACATTTCCTTTGAGGAATATACTCCATAAACCCGAGCTCTTGGGTAGATTGGCCAAATGGGACGTTCAAATGAGCAAATTCGACATAGAGTATAAGCCAAGGACAACGATTAAAGCACAAGTCCTGGTTGACTTCGTGGCCGATTTCAGCCTGGGACTATTACCCCTGGCTACCAAAGAGGCAATAATGTTATCAGAACCGACAGCAGGAGTCTAGACCTTGTTCACAGACGGAGCTTCAAACGTGAAAGGGTCCGGGCTTGGGATAGTCTTGATCACACCTTTAGGGGAAACCTTAAGGCAAGCTATCAGAACGATTCCTTTAACTAACAATGAAGCATAGTACGAAGCTTTGATTGCAGTGCTCGAATTGGGCTGTGGGCTCGACTCTGAAGCCGTCAAAATCAAAT